GTGGGCTTGGTACAGCGCTAGCTTGATTGTTGAAGCGGGTAAGGGCGCAGTCCTGTGACGGGAGGTGGGGGGGAGCATTTGGCACTTCGCTGCTTCAGTAGTTCAGGTTTACAATTCTCATTTTGGTGAAACCTGTGAACTCTTGTGAAGCTGGAGCGACCCCTGTAAGCTCGATGGCTCTCCAGATTGGTCGACGCGTTTTTGGAAAGCAACCAAAGTGCAAAACGCCCCTTTCCTCGTCGCCGAAGTGCTGCGCGGGTAAGCAACAATAACCGACTGAAAACAGGCGGTGCCAAACCCAGCCGACAGTCTACTGCCTTGGAGACCCATAGGGTCCAAATCCAAACGGAGAAGATTTTGGAGTCGGTTGAGGTCTTGGCGCGAGAGGCACAAACCTCCGCGCGAAAAACCCTCGAGGCATTCTGGATCCAGGTCATCGATCCAAAAATGAACCGGAGGGAAGAATGCCTCACTATCACGCGGGAACTGAGGCCCTATATAAGGTTGGCCTTCCACGAGGGGCTCTGAATGCAGAGCAGTCCGATCTGGTGCAGTGGTCAGCTTCCTATTGGTCTCGCGGATCGGACTGGGTTACGGTAAGTGGCTTCATCGTGATTGGGTTATGACCTGATTTATGGGTCGAACTTCAGTAGGGCTGCGGAGATATTTGTTCGGATAGTCACAAAACGTTTCGATCCTTTCAGGCACTGATGAATGGTTTCGCCGAAACGGCGCAAGCCGAAGTTAAGTGGTATATCAACCTCGCGAGAGTTTCTACAGAGGAAAGTCTACAGTACTACAACTATGCCCGGGTTTATTGAGAGCCGTACATGGCGACTACTAATTTTTGCTTCATGAAATGAAACAATTTATTATGTTTCCAAATACATTACATAACTTCAAGCCATTGATCCACAGACAGGTCAATAAATACATTTTACTACATAGCAAAATGACGGGCCACTGAAACAACAATCAGGTCATTACCCAATATAAACTTGACATTCACCATCAGCAGATCATCAAATATTACAGTATGCAAAGTAAATGGAAGTGATCTTAACTATTTGAGAGGCGATCCCATCATATTCATATCTGAACCTTGAGAAGCCAGGATGAGGAATTCAAAGTGTCTTCCTGTTTTTGCTTCTAGGCTTCCGGAATTCGTAAGTGTCTTTCTTCTCTTGTAGAAATCCAGCTGATTGAGGAACCAAGCATGTTTCGGTAGAAATTTTTCTCCTAGCGCCCTTTCTTATATAGAGGCACATTTTGCTATAACCTTGCAATGGAACAAGGATGCTGATAAGGTGCTCTCGAATGCTAGTAAATGTTCATTGGTAGAGACAGCTCTGGGAGCGGCGATTGATAGGCCCCAACAATTGGTACCTTCGTGTGCATAAACTGCGGCTTGGCCTTCTCGCCGACCAGAATGGCGGGCTTAAAGGCTGTACTCTCTCGCCGTCGTTCTCTGATCTTTTATCTCCTATCTCACTGAACAAGACCAAGGATTATCTGAGCGCATTCTCTTACTGTGATTTTGGCACTGATGAATGACTTAGGTCAGCTTGCTGGAGGGCATTTCATGCATGGCGCTTGCCATCAAGCACACAGGGTGACAGGATACGGAAGACACTAAGTACATCATCATTGAACGTTGCAGGAGCGAGCCCTCTATTATTGCTCCCACCTTATCTCATCTCCGCTTTATCTTCTATCACTCGAAGATGAACCTATCCTTCATTGGAACTGAAGTCGGCCATCAATGTTTCCTTAATCCTGATGCAGAGCTGTTCATAGTTTCCTTGAAACTGTCGCTGTAATAGTGGGAAACACCAGCAGTCTAGGTTTTTGGGTAAATTCGTGGATCACAAGGTATATTTCATGGCAGAAATTACCATTTCAGTTTGTCCTCTAGCGGACCCTGGAATTCCACGCATGTTAGATAGGGATACGCTCATGAGTGTCTCTTCGTGTCCCTGGATGTGATAGTTTGTAAAAATGCAAAACGTCGAGGCAGCGTGACGAAGGCGCGATGATCCCGCCTACGGCTTCATTGCCCCACCGATGGTGGTCGGGTAGTGGTTGATCTAGGAAGAAATAACCGACGGTGAAGAGACCCCAGGAGGGGCCGACGACTCGTGACTGGCACGTATAACTTTCTTTTCAGGGTCCGTATGCCAAACTTATCCCAGGTGTCGTGATCACTACTTGTTTCATTTGTCTGCTGCTAGTTGTAGAGCCGGAGAGTCGGACGCAGTGGAACGGACCCTTGTTACATTCTTCCTTGCAGAAAGGAAGATCGATAAAAAGCCGGTGAAGTCTCGTGACGAAAACCAAGGTGAGAAACTGGACACTTATCAGCAGATCGTGGCTCATAATCCTGCAAAACCAAAATTTCATCCCTGCTGTTTTTCTCCTCAAACGGCACCTTTCAGTGCATACAATGCATACATCGGGGCAGCGCATGAGAAGATTGGCATTAGACAGAGGGTGAGAAGGATATACAGGATCGGACATCACAACACGATCATATTGAAAAAAGAAGTTGCATTACTAACCAAGTCTTCTTTGAAATGTCCAAGACTGGGGCTCCAGATACAGTGCCGTACCTTTCAAATATACTGCGAGTCAACTCGATCGTAAGCGGAGAGAACGTGAGAACCGCACACAGAAGGTATTTCAGTTCGCCTTTACCAATACCCATGTCCTAAGAAGACTGACTATAACCTGCAAGAGAACTGAAATCGGTATATCCCACCTTCCTGATTAACTTCGCTTTCAATAATGACATAGCCCAGTAAGACATATAAACATGTGCAGATGGCAACTGTAAAAGCACAGAGGATTATGGCCACGTCGGCGAGAATCTGAAAAATTAAAAAATCTCTTCATCAAGCTGAATGCAAACAAGCAAAGAGTGAATGTTTTCATTCAGATACGTACATGGCTGCCACTATATACGTATTTAATTTCAAGTGTTCCTTCGAGCGACACGTAGAAAGACCCTTCTGGATTGCCAACAATTACACCAAACACGGTAATGATAGCAGAGATTGTCCAATTCACAAAACAGACTGCAAGGGCCGTTTTTGTAGTCCATATCTGAAAAGCGGCTCCAGTTGTGAACACATTCGCTACTCCGTAGAATTGTCGACTGAACCCTCATGTCAACAGTATTCTTCTAATTCAAACAATTGACTCGATAAAGACGAGCCCAATCCCTCAGGAGTTATTGAGTTTCTATTCATGCGCTCTTCAGCCGTTATCTGATAGCTGTTTCCTATTGGTGTCTCACTTTCTGAACCATTATCATTAGTCAGTTAAACACATTATGAATAATGGTGTGCAGAGCATACTTAGTAGCCTACAATACCTTCACTGAGACAAACTAATCCAGACACCTTCATCTGAAAATAACTGGTATGAAGAAGCTTAGTAAAAGTTCTAGTGCGCTAATAGCCTGGGAGAGGCATTTGAAGGACTCTGTATGAAAAATTGGAATCACCGTAATGAAAACAAGGTGCTTTGCCTTCGTCTTCAGGAGGAAAGTGGCTCCATTATGGCGAACCATTTTCAAGTTGTTCTATTCGGATGACCTTAAATGACCCAAGTTTGGCACAAGGGCCCTGAACATAGAAAAGTGTATTGAATACAATAAAACATTATTGGAGAAGTATTAGGTTGTCGCATAAGTTCTTATACACGACTTTTTTGTAAATATCTCAAAAGCGAACCAGCCTGGAGATTAGAGGTATGCACCATCACCATTCACTACTCGACGCCAGCGCTCAGGCAGCTTGTCGATTCCATCCTTCCAGAACGACGGAGGCTGGGACTTGAAGAAGTCGTCGAGCGCCTTTCTGACCTGATCCTTTGTTTCGAACTTTTTTCCGTCCAGATAGCGCTGCAGGTGGCTGAACAGCCAGTAGTCAGAAGGAGCGAGGTCAGGGCTGTAGGGAGGGTGGGCGACCATCAGCCATCCGTACTTCTCCAGCTCGGCCTGGGTCGCCTTTGCAGTGTGAGGTCGGGCGTTGTCATGGTGGAAGTAGATTTCCGCATTCCTTCCACGAGTACGGTCGACGTGATCTTTCAATTTCCGCAGCTGGGTCACGTATGTGGAAGCGTCAATCGTCTGTCCCTTCTCCAGCAGCTCCCAGTACTCCATGCCTCTTCTGGACCACCAACAGGACAGGAGAACCTTTTTGGGGTGAAGGTCGGCCTTTGGGGTGGCTTCTGGCTGTTCTCCTTTGTCGACCCACTGCCGCTTCCTCACAGGGTTATCGTAGAGGACCCACTTCTCATCTCCAGTGATCATCGAGTTGAGAAAGTGAAGCCTCTTTTGGAAAGTGAGGAGAGAAGTGCAGGTGGTCACCCTCCTCGAGAGGTCATAAGCGGACAGTTCATGTGGGACCCATCGACCAAGCTTTGCTACCTTGCCGAGCTTTTCTAGTCCACGTGCAACCGTCGAATGATCATAGCTAAGCATGGTCGCCATTTCTCTGGTGGTGAGGTACGGGTCCTCCTCCACGGTGGAACGTAGTACTTCCAAATCCAACTCCATCGGCCGACCCGACCTCGGAGCATCTTCGAGAGAAAAGTCTCCTTTCTTGAATTTGGCGAACCAATTCTTGCATGTCATGTAAGAGATGACGTCCTCACCGTATGTATCCACCAGCTTGGTATGGGCTTCCTTTGCATTCCAGCCGAAATCGTGGAGCAAAACCAAACAGTGGCGCAGGTACGTTTTGTCACAGTGCAAATTGTGCGACATTGTGTACTGCAAATGCAAGCTCGGTGAGTGATAGCTAGTGTAATGAAAGAGTATAATGTACACGTCACGCACACGTGATGACGTAATACCAACATCCATGCGAACGAAATAGGAGAGGATCAAACACGTGTATAAGAACTTATGCGACAACTTAATACACCGAAATCGGCCTTCCATTCACTGCATTCAGTATTTAGTTATTTTTCGGTATACAATTGAGCATACAAAATTCAGAGATGCACGAAAGCTCTTCCCATGTCATCAGAGCGGAGGGAGGGATCACGTGGCAGAGAGCTGATGCCACGTATTCGATGTCATTTCATTCAAAGAAACTAGATGCACTCAACTTCGCACAAGGGCTACACGTTGGTCCATAGCTTATGCTACTTTTAAGGCTAACTCCTTGATCAGCTGATTGCAGGGGTTCCACCGACAGGACTGTGTGGTCCTTGAAAACCTTGTAGAGTAACTGCTGCGGCTATGGCATACCGTCGCACCTTCGCAACCCTCGAATCTGTCTGCATCATCCCAGCAACCGTGTGCTGTGGAGACCGCTGCCATGGAAACCCTCTACAACACGGGTGCACTGTAGAAGCCTAGCTATAGGCAAGGCCTGTGCGTTCTTGGGCCACTGCTTTGATCAAGCGGAAACTCAGTATTATGATGACCATTTCTTGATTGCCGATACATCGACGATTGCTCCATAATCTGCTTCATTCAGAGCGAAAGAACAAGTGATTTGCCGCAATGAACGAACTTCGATACATGCACTAAAGTTATTAAACACTGCCTTAGAAGTGTGCACGGGAAAGAGAAATGAAGTCAGTTCTCCTGCATGTTTCGCCTGGTCAGACCAGGACTAGAAAACTTGGCATCGGAGTTCGGCACTCTTCCAGCATCATGAACTATTGTTTAGTTCGCAACCATCTTTACGATCGCATCTGTAGAATCGCGGACTGTGCAGCTTGCCGGGGACTGTACTGTTGTGAGTGTAGCCTGCAAGACTTCTCGTCGACATGTGGAGACGAGTGACCATGATGGGCCACTTCGTGCGCGGACCGATGAACACTTTGCGGGCAAAACTATCAGGTTGGCCGATAAGTAATGGCGTTTTCTTCTTACACGGACTTTTATATGGAAAGTGTAAATTGTTCACATTATTTAGTGTACATTTATACATGTCATGAGTCATATATATGTTCATTGTGTTCTGTGTCATTTAATACCCCGCATTACAAAATGTCCCGCATTACAACGTAGTACAACGGTCTTGCTGCTGTTTCTTATTTTTGACGATTTTTATATCGATTTTTAAGTGGATTGTCGTGTCGACACAAAAGTGAGTTTTCGACAACAACTTTTTGCACCATATCTGGGCTCTCAAATTACAGAAGAAGCTCAAAACCTGCGATATATGTTACCAAGGAAAGGTGCTTCTTATGACGACTCGAAGTGTATTCAGGCGATTAGGAATAGGATATCGGCATATAAATGTACATTGCATGAGACGCCCTCCTGTGGATGGACTGTCTGCAATACCTATCCACCGAGCTCTGAACCTCTCCCACTAATAGAAGGTTATTCAGTGACAATTGGGACATTCCGTGACCTCTAAGAACTCCTAAGTCGTTGACATGAATCTTCTTGGAATAAGCTGCTCCAGCATGCTCTCTGCGGAACTCAGTAGGGCACTAGGTTCAACGTTTGCCTGTGAAGTCTAAATCAAAAATTTTGAATTGCTTAAACTGTTGTAACAATTTCTAAGGGACATAGCTCTAAGGTCCATATACTGAGCAAGTGGACTTGTGAGCTTTGAACCTTTTAATTGAGTGCAAAAAAGATCGAAAATGCTCAATTTCGTCGACCTGTCACTCCAGTTTGAGCACTTAAAATTGCTGAAAACAGGATCTTCAAAGAAGGTCAAGGGGACTGTGGTGCAAGAAATTCTCTGCAAAGCGATATAAAAGTCAATAGCAAAACTTCCCACCTTCGAGGCGAAATTTCGAGTGAGAAAAACGCCATTACTCATGGGTCCACCCAATAGATCGAGAGTACTGACTAGGCTACGTTGCCACAGGATGATCCACTCACATACATCCAGATATACAGAGAAAAATTATCTTGCTTTTAACCATTGATCTACCCCTTTTGGGATGCCACATGCTTCCATCAAAAATTGTGGTGGCTTATTGAATGTAATGAGGTTTATACAATGACTGATAGGGCGTACAAGTCATGTTCTTGGCCCTCTAGACGAGTAGATACATTTGCCGTCATGGAAGGTAGAAGACTTAGCTAACTTAGGTGGGGGCCGCTCCTAGATTTGGTCTCTGATTTGTGGGTAGTGTGCATGCCACTTGTAATTACACAACCTCCGCCTCACCTACATACGCACATTATTTCTTGCTCTCCTTAGCCTTGGCTCGCCGTCGCAGGGTTAGCTGCTCTTGTTGGAAGTCGCCACTTGCTTCAAACCACAGCATCTTCTGCCGTGGAATTCACTTCAGTAAAATCTTTCTTGATAAGGTCCCTCCATCTTTCTTTTGTAGCTCCCCACGATCGCGTGCCTAGCGATTCTATTTACATTTGGATGTTCTTCAGTCGTCCTCACTACATGACCGTACCATCGCAGTCGCTGCTCTCGTGCCTTCAGCTGGATCGGAGCCGTCTGTGTGACCGCCCTGACGTCCTCGTTTCTGACTCTGTCGAGTCGTGTCCAACCGCAGGCCCATCTCAGCATCCTCATTTCAGCTGAGTGGAGCTGCCTTTCATGGTTCTTGCAGATGGGCCAGCACTCACTGCCGTAGAGCATTGCAGGTCCTTACCACGGCTCGGTACACCTTGCCCTTGAGCGTTCTCGAGCACCGCCGCTTGCAGAGGATGCTCCTGACCCCCTCCCCCCATTCCATCTGAGCTGCATTGGTTTGAGTGTTTACCGCCCGGTTCACGCTGCCATCAGCTGTTACTTTCACTTCCCAGGTACTGGAAATTCTCTACCCTTATGATGCTTTCGCCCTAGGCGGACTACAGCGGATTCGTTGTACCCTTCACAGCTTAGAAACTTGGTCTTTTTTATATTATTCACCCGGAGTCCATTCCCAGCAAGCACATCCTGCTAGCGCTTCATTTCGCCCTGAAGTTATTCCCTGTTACCCGCCATCAGGGCAAAGTCGTTTGCTCATCCGCTCAGAGGATAGTTTCTTGTGGCCGCCTTTCCGTTACTTTTTTGTAAGGATGAAGAGGAAGGAGCTGAGGGCTAATCATTGTTGCACCCCAACCGAGATGCGCCTACGACAGGCCGTGAGAGGTGCGTACAGCGGAAATAACCTCATCGACATGCCCTCCACAATGGAGACAAGGTGTTCCGGAACATTTCCTTCTGTACGCTCTTCAGAGTACAGGCACATGTAGGCGGTCGAATGCCTTCTCAAGGTACACGCAGGCTAGTTCGCAGGGTTGTCGCTTCTCTCGGTACATTTGCATTACCTATCTGGCGATGAGATAACATCACCGGCTGCCATTCTGTTCTGTAGTGGATAAATGATCGTACATGTCAAATATTCAGTATCTCCCACCTAACCACATGTGGCGAATGGAGTGGGACGGCCAGGTGGAGAAGACGAGATGAGAGAAGTATTTATTGGGAACAACCGCCCTTTCATAAGGCAATCACAACAATCAATTATCACTGTATTTGTTCATGAGTCATTTGGAATAACACCGGTCGGTTCGGTAAGGTTCATAGGGGATTCTCTATACCACATTCAAATGAGGTACTCCCACTGCACCTCCAGGATATGAGTGCACATACATACATGCGCGCATACATAAATACTTACATGCATACATACACCATACATTCATTCATACATACATCCATCCATACATACATACATATACATACACACATATATACATGTTACATACTCGCTATAAATTTGAGTGATCGCTCACCTTACAATATCTCGTTGGAAAAATAATAGCTGTAAACCGGTTGACTGCCAATGTGATAAACCCAAGAAATATACAACTTCTCAGTAGCAATGTCGCGCAAACCATAGGCACAGCTAGGTAGGACGGTGGAAGTTGTCGATAAAAAGGAAGCAAACGATATTTACGAGCTCGTATAGCAAACTCGGTATGGAGAAACAGGGCAATCTCTGCGATAGACTGAAAAACTGCATGTGAGCATCAGAGTCCATAATCATGCTAATCAAGAGGACGAATCGGTTTATGCTCACATTTCTCACTATAACGGATCGTTCAATTACAAAAGTAAGGCAATAACTGCCGAAAATAGCGACAAGAGTGTCGACATCTTGCTTTGTTCCCCTCCCCCTCTCACGCAATGTAGAAACCTTTTCCCCCCACCCTCCCCTCCCGAATCCACCTAAATCACAGTTCTGCCAATCACACAGCTTTTGCTACCTTTTATGAATTCTTGCAAAGAGCAACAGGCAGAAAGATTGACTGCCTATTAGAAAGCGAGCCGTTATAGAAGAAGACAAATTGCTCGCTACTTAATTCCAGTTCGCGTGACATCTTGAACTTTCGTGCAGATCCTGTAACGAGACCAGGAAACACAGACAGTTAGAGGGCAGCGCCTGCAAAAGCATCGAGGCGTGCAAGAAAAAATGGCGAGCAAGGATACGAACGCGGTTAGATTCCGCACCCGACTGTTACCACGCGCGCGCAAATTTGAATTCAAACTGCAGTTTGAATTATCTTCCCGCGCGCGCAAATTTGAACACAAAACAGCATTTTCTGATGGTTTTCTCTCATGTAGCGGTGAGAACGTATTCACGAAGCTGTTTTTTCATTGTCCTGCTGTTATTCGCTATTCTGCTGCCCTTTGCGTCCAGATCACCAACACTGCTGGTGAATACTTCCTGGCCTTCTACAAGTGTGTTCTTCAGCCGCCCATTGGATCTGCTATTCACTATTGTGGTAGTTTTTCTGTGAAATCTTCACTGTTCTGCAGGTAAGACGTGATCATTACTCGCTGTTGGTTTTTAGACAGTTTCTCTTCTGCATGCAAAGCTTCCTTTAGTCGTTTTTCCCGGCATTCTCTTTCGACGAAATAATATTTCCACTGTTCATTTAGCGTCAGAAGTCGTGCTTATTTTTCTGAAATACTCATTTCTCTTTCCAGTTTCGTTCAAGTTACATCACTGTATCTGCCTTATGTTGCTCGCGGAGAGGACTCATATAGTCAGGTTTCTTTCGTGCTTTCCATGGGTTGTCGCGAGGAACTGCTACGCGAACCCCTTGTGAAGTCTCGAGATAGCCTGAAAAGGTGCCTGAGGCCTCAGAATATCTGTCCACCGCTGAGCCTCCCTCGAACTTTCCGTTTTCCTTTCTCCTTCCTGCTTTTCCATTCACCCTTCCTTTATTCCTCCTCTCACCTCATTGGCTCATTTCCTCCCTCCCAATGTTCAATCCAGAAGATGCTCCAGACGAAGCGCCAGCCCTTCGTGAGTAGTGAACACCTCGTCGCATAATGGGCGAGTTACCCTAGCGAAACCTGGATCCCTACTAATCTCTTCGCGGATTCTCAGCACCTCTTCCGCAAGCTTGTGATGAACGGCTCTGAGATGTGAGTAGAAATTTCTCTTTAGCATAACTTTCTTACTTTCTGGACATGTCGCATAAGTAGGGAGGAGCCATGTTGGTTGCGTTTGGATTTAATTAGCCTCAGCGCTAAGTAGATCAAGCAGTCGAGGTGGGGTCGACAATGGTGAATGGATTGGAATGATTACGAAACATTCTTAGTCTATCAACCGGATGTTCTCTCGCCTGCAAGAGTCTAGAGGTATTTTGTCATCGCATCTGGTCGAACATTGGGAGGGAGGAAATAAGCAAGTGAGGTGAGGAAGAGGAATGAAGGAAGGGTGAATGGAAAAGCAGGAAGGAGAAAGGAAAACGGAAACTTGAGGGAGGTTCAGCGGTGGACAGATATTCTGAGGCCTCAGGCACCTTTTCAGGCTATCTCGAGACTTCACAAGGGGTTCGCGTAGCAGTTCCTCGCGACAACCCATGGAAAGCACGAAAGAAACCTGACTATATGAGTCCTCTTCCGCGAGCAACATAAGGCAGATACAGTGATGTAACTTGAACGAAATGGAAAGAGAAATGAGTATTTCAGAAAAATAAGCACGACTTCTGACGCTAAATGAACAGTGGAAATATTATTTCGTCGAAAGAGAATGCCGGGAAAAACGACTAAAGGAAGCTTTGCATGCAGAAGAGAAACTGTCTAAAAACCAACAGCGGTAATGATCACGTCTTACCTGCAGAACAGTGAAGATTTCACAGAAAAATACCACAATAGTGAATAGCAGATCCAATGGGCGGCTGAAGAACACACTTGTAGAAGGCCAGGAAGTATTCACCAGGAGTGTTGGTGATCTGGCCCTAACAAGGGAGGTGTTTCAGGTCATGACGCGCTTTTTGGAAATGGTTTGTTGCTTGTTGTAGGGGTCCATACAAGGGTCACAAAAATGGGTTTCATTTTTGCTATGCGTTTCTGGGTAGGTCAAAAACTGAGTGAAAAGAATTTGACAAGAATGGGCGGTTTTAACAACCTTAATGGGCTCCGTTCTGCTTGTAACTTCGAGCATGCATAGTTTATGAGGTGGTCACTTAATTAGGCCTCAAATCTAGTAACACACTTGGCATGCACCGACGCAAGAGTGATGTTTTTGTCAGCAAACCCTTCCGGATCGGATGGCGCAGTGGATAACACGACGGGTTCTGGATGGCACGGCAAGGGGGCACTTTGTGGATCGGATCCTCTCGCGGAAAATGTTTTGCATTTTTCAGCTTTCCATTCATTCGCGTGCCTGTGTGTCTGGCAGTAGGAAATAAGTCAAGTATATGCCATTTGAAGGCATATACTTGTGGCCACATTGTGGCCTGAAAGCGTGCTTGTGCTGCCCCTCGTAGTTCATGTCAGAAGGGTTATTGCAATGAAATACCATCACATTTATGTTCAGCGGGTTGGATTACCCCTGGGGACTAATTTTCTAGCCAAGTCTGACGTTTCGACCTTACTTGGAAAATGTGGGCCATTCTATGGACATTTGGCAGCAGGCGGGGTCCACCCACCATGGATGACTGGTCTTGGGATGGTATTTTCTACCGGTAATCAGGAAAATGATGCAGGCGGCTCATACAAGTGAGCCAGGTATTGTTCTTTGCGAAAAGACATGACTGAAGGGTTATTTCAGTGCAAAGACCAGTCATCACCAGTATGCTAGTCGGATTATTGGCTATCATCCAGGCGTGACCATCTCTACCCCATTTTTTCGAAGTTGAGTCAGAACCTCGGATTTCCTCAAGGTTTCTTTTCTAGAGGTTGTTTGACCCCCTGAACACGAATATGATATCTATTTCGCACGGAGAGAGCTGTGAGTCGCGCTACAGGTGCAAATTCACTGCGCCAGCCCACCCGCAAGAAGAAAAACAGTGAAGGAAAACCTCCATAACTCCGCTCAGAGAATCGTTCCGCAAATTTTGAAGGTAGTTTCGAGTTCATTGTGTCAAGACGAGTACAATGATATGCACTCACTGCAAATGGCCAGGCTGTCCTATTGGCCTTTCCTGGATGACACCTTACAAACCAGCACAGTTGTGTGGAGAACCTTGTTTCCGGAAATGTTCACGTCTCGTTGCGTTGATACAGATGCAAAACTGTTGCCGCAATGAGGATCCGAACCGAGTCCCGCATTGTCGTGCCATACCAGAATCCATCGTGCTATCCGCTACGCCATCTGATCCGCAAGCAATGGTCATGAAGGGAGCGCTGACAAAAACATCACTCTTGCGTCGGTGCATGCCAAGTGTGTTACCACATGATACTTACATTTTGACTTTAATCGAATCTATTTTGAGGCCTAATTAGTGACCACCTCATAAACTATGCATGCTCGAAGTTACAAGCAGAACGGAGCCCATTAAGGTTGTTAAAACCGCCCATTCTTGTCAAATTCTTTTCACTCAGTTTTTGACCTACCCAGAAACGCATAGCAAAAATGAAACCCATTTTTGTGACCCTTGTATGGACCCCTACAACAAGCAACAAACCATTTCCAAAAAGCGCGCCATGACCTGAAACACCTCCCTTGTAAGGGCAGCAGAATAGCGAATAGCAGCAGGACAGTGAAAAACAGCTTCGTGAATACGTTCTCACCGCTACACGAGAGAAAACCATAAGAAAATGCTGTTTTGTGTTCAAATTTGCGCGCGGGAAGATAATTCAAACAGTTTGAATTCAAATTTGCGCGCGCGTGGTAACAGTCGGGTGCGGAATCTAACCGCGTTCAGGATAGGAGCTTCTTGTTAGGTAGAAAACTTCGGGGTGGGTGAGCCAGATCACTTCGAGAAGCTAGATTGTGCGAAGTCGCAATGAACATAGAGTGCCACGCGGACGATGGGCAGAAAAGGAATTGACATTTGAAGGGACTTGACTCCAAGTTGTCCGTAGACCGAATAAAAATAGTGAAAAAGAGGCAAAAGGTGAAGCTTCACCATAAGCGCGAGTTACCAACTGAGTCACCCATCAGTGCCCATTTACGCAATTTAGGCGTGCCATACTTTCAGAATGGCTTGGTTAATATTGAACTAATTTCTGATCGGATGTGTATTATTCACATGTATACATTTCTACAATGCTTCGATAATTCTCTACAACTTCTCTAGGTTTCGTTGCCAGTCTGGAATGGGCCTTCGCTTGAAATCCGATTCACCGCCACGTGCTTCATTCACTGTCCAATTTTCAGCGTGGTCACGATCAAACAACATCGATGAGACCAAGCAAGGCGTTCACGACGGTTCTGCTTCAAAGGCCATCGGAACTCCGAAGAATTGTCGGCTAGTCGTTTTCGTAGAAGCATGATTGCAATGGAAATTCCCTAGTTTGAAAATTCTTCGTGGGTGCTGTTACGCTACTTTTCTCACTGCGAAGTAGTTCTTTACTCTAAATATGAGTGAAAGTTGAACGCGTCACAAGATCAGATGGGGTTTCACAAGTAATTTCCACATTGTCAAGCGGAGTAATTATGAGCGACTTTCCAGAGGACAAACTGAAAAGGGGTGAAAACGCCGAATCTTTTCGGGAATCTATCGCCCAGAAACGTAAAAAGGACTGAACTGAAGCCAGTGCCAATTCTATGCTTTATCCAGCGTTTTTATCGTGGACGTTATTGTCCCAGCAACAAACATCCATGACAAGCTGCAGTTCGATTCCAAGCAACCTTGTTGGTTCTGACTTTGCTAGTTTGATGGGAGTGCGCACGAGTACCAGCGTTTCCACAAACTCTTGCAGTAGAGATTCACAGACTCAAGACCCTTCGCTTATCCTTTTTAAGAGCTTAAACGGAAGCCACGAATGTGCCATCGGAGAAAACACTTTGCACCCTGGGCTACACTTTACCAAAATTTCTTGCCATTTTAATATCAGAACTTACATTGAGCATAGCAACGTTCAGAAAGCACGTTTGCGCACGTGAGATGTGCTTTCTACGAGCTGCTATCATAAAACAAACCAGTATGTAGAGAATTACTGAAAACCAACCAAGTGCCATTACTGGAATATCCCACGGAGGCAATGGAATGGCCATTTCTGTAAATCCTCTTCTCTGTGAAGGTACAAATAAAAACACACACGTTCAAAAGAAGCCAGCTTCATGCATCATGCTATTGCATGAATCTAGCAAGCCGAAGAGAATGCAGTGAGTACAGGGAAAAAAATACAATCAGCAAGAAAAGTATTCGCTTTCAGCGTAGACCGGAGAATTATGTCCTGAAAAGCTAGTCTCCAGGTCTCCATGATGCTTGGTTTCTTTGCCATTCCCTGATTTCCGTTGCTTCATGGCATACCCCCAGGCGAGCTTAACAATTATAATTACGGGGTAGAATAAAAAAAATACTTTAACTGTGATCTCTGCCACGTAGTAAAGACACCGCTGAAGGGCCTAAATCGGGAGCAGATTACTAGTAGGGAGAAACTCAGGGGACAGAAACGATCACGTTTTCAACTGCCAGGGAAAACCGTTAACATAAAGGCTTTGCAATTGTATAGACGGTCCAAAACGCGTGATTCGTTAATATCATGAAACAAACATAAAATAGCCGAAAAAAATTTGAAATTAGAGTAACGGTATGAGTGCTACCCTTCGCCATGAAGGAACATCAGTGAGTGAGTGGTACTTCAAAAGACACTGACTAGATTATTCTTCAGCCCACTGATGCGGAAGTTATCAGCACTATTGAGGAAGACGCAAAGAATGTTTTTAGTGCTGCGAAGAAAGAGCAGATTTCTTGAAAATGTCCTCATTAAGTTGGGAAGCACAAAACATTTACTGGCTGCAGAGTTGATCCCGACTTTTCAAGTTTTGTGAGTGTCGAATGTTAATTTACACATATAGCTCGTGTGGGGAGATTCGAGCGAGCGACTGTATGTAGAGCTTTGGTCAGCACTTCGATCAGTAGCAAAAAACAGCTGGGCTTTTGCATACATAGTGACTTCATGCTGCGAACCGATTAGCTAAATCACTCACAAGAAAATGAGTATTGAGATTAGTAGAATTGTGTGGTGTATATTAGTGTGTCAAATGCCCATCACAGAATAAATGTCAAGTGAAGGTCTGATATAGAACTGATGTAATTGGAGGATTTTCTGTTCATAGGGCCAGGAAAATCTTATAACAATAAGGTCTGGATCGCAAGAGCTTCTCCTATTAGGTTTGTGACAAGAAAGCCCAAACTTCGATATTTTAGCTTCAGTTTGCAAAGTGGAATTCTATGAGAAATGGACTAATTCGGTGTGAAAACCGAGTGAAAGTTCACAAATTTACAAGGTGATGTCAACGTGTTCCAGGTTTCCGAATTCTATCAGAATAGACGGATAGCGTTCTAGAGTTGGTAGAGACCTTCCAACCTTCCTTCAGTTTTTGAACTGCATGCGCTCAAAAAGTGCAGTGCGAGGCCCGGATCTAATATAATGGATTAATATCTGTTTATTACGTTATCCAACCATTTATAGGAGGAACTGTTCAACGGTACGGGGCCCTATCGCCGCCGGAATTCCTTAGAATTGCTTGACACACATTCCCTCAATTAGGTGAAAGTTGTAGACAATAAAGTGCATAAATTCATTTGTTTCCGAGAGTGTCGATCTAAAAGCGATCTGATGGAAACTTCAGGTTGACTGGAGCAGTCATGCCAGTAATGAAGTCAACTTTTTGAAGCAGTAAAATTGGATTTCTCACCTTCGAAAGCTGGATCAGTGAAGAAGTCGCCCATTACTTTACAAACCCCCACACAGAACCGCCTCGAGTTTGCAGGTTGCCACGTGCATAATTCCCTCGAGGGCGACAAGGAAATAAGTCGACAAGCAAAGTGATAATGATGCATGTTTACAAAATGGCATTCGTTAGCACCACATGCAAGGCGTGACAACCAAGTTAGCAATTTGCTGCTTCTGCTATATAGTTACTTAAAGAATCTGACATGAACCATATTCTGTAGAACGCCACACGTGACTTCAAGTTCGTAAGGAGTTCCTCCGAGCAAGGTATTACATACGATAAGGAAACACTGCACGCTCGACGAGGTATAAAACGAAGAGAGGCAAGAGAGTATGCAAGTGCAATGAGTGCCAATTAAAGTGGATGAACAGCCCCAAGTGATAAGCTTGAGGCGTACGTGCATCGAATTCTAGATCAGTGATGGTATAGTCACCATCAGGCTAATGCACTGTTTTAGTGTGGATATTAGTTTTATTGAATTTTTGCATTCTGTTTGTAAGAGCCAGTAGGGAAATCGGTGAGGACTACAGATCAAATCGGGAAAAGTCACTTTCCTCAATGATCGAAGTGCAGAGAAGGGAGCGGAAGACAGGAGCTGGGAATAAACAATAATAAGGGAAGACCTCTGTCAATTATAGAAGACGGGTGATGTACAACAGCATTGAAAATGCATTCGCCTTCTGTTGAGTACGATGCTGAGCTAGAAAATTCATTCGAATTAATTCGATATATGTAGATTAACCTGCCAGCGAGACGAAATTGGAGAAAAGCCATTTAATGAAAAGGGGTTTTACCAACAGGGCACCTCGTTGCTGGGGATCTCCAACAGGGAGTCGTTGTTTGTCGACTTATTTATCACTTTGTTTGTCGACTTATTTCCTTGTCGCCCCGAGGGAATTATGTACGTGGCAACCTGCAAACTCGAGGCGGTTCTGTGTGGGGGTTTGTAAAGTAATGGGCGACTTCTTCACTGATTCAGCTTTCGAAGGTGAGAAATCCAATTTTACTGCTTTATAAAAGTCGACTTCATTAGGCACTCTCGGAAACAAATGAATTTATGCACTTTATTGTCTACACTTTTCAGTTAATTGAGGGAATGTGTGTAAGCACTTCTAAGGAATTCCGGCGGTCGATAGAGCCACCGTTGAACAGTTCCTCCTATGAATGGTTAGATTACGTGATAAACAGATAGTAGTCTATTAGATCCGGGCCTCGCACTGCATTTTTTGAGCGCATGCAGTTCAAAAACTGAAGGAAGGTTGGAAGGTCTCTACCAACTCTAGAACGCTATCCGTCTATTCTGATAGAATTCGGAAACCTGGAACACGTTGACATCACCTTGTAATTTGTGAACTTTCACTCGTTTTCACACCGAATTAGTCCATTTCTCATAGAATTCCACTTTGCAAACTGAAGCTAA